TAGAGCACTTGGCACTTTTTTTAGGGCTACAGCTTTAAATACTCACAAAGGAATTAAAAGACACGTAAATTATATAAATCTTGTGCAAAAAATAAACAAAGGCACTCTTCAAACCAAAGGCTGTTTTGAAAAAGTAACAACTTTCAACATAATATGGAAGAACACTAATGTGTTTACTCCAGCGTCCCGGAAAACGTATGTAAATGTTAGTTAAAATGTCTTTTTTATGGGTTCAAAGAAAATAACATTTATTGACTCAAGGTCGATGTGTGTTTGCGTGAGCTTTACAAAACCTATTGTCTGCAAATAAAATAATAATAAAAAATCTCAATAGACATTTACACAGTGAACCTTTTAGTCAAATATTTTCATTCAAACAGCAGGAGGTAGAAAAAAAAAAACAGTCCTTGGCTCACATGTTGTTTATCATCTAATTGTGCCATTAACTGTCTTTAACAAATGGTCATTAGACATGTATTGATTATGATAGTATTAAAGGATATTTATTTTACCTTTTTTTGAAAAGGTTCAAAGACAGAATCATTTCATAAAGGAGAAATGAATGTGTATAAATTGTCTTTAACAGATTTTTTTTTTTTAGAAACTATCGGTATTCTATTATAACAAACACTAACTCTTTTGGTTTTTATTGTAGTAGATCCCATATGTGTGTTGTGTAATTTCTCATTTAACAAAGACAGATTGGACAGTTTTGGCAAAATAAAATGGAACCTGTGATTTATGGACTTGGACGGCAGTACTCAATCAAGCCTCATTAAATTTGAAGCAAGGCTAAAACAACAAAAAGACATTTGTCACATTGTTGTCAGATATGAACCCCTCAGTATTGTCTTGTCTCTGAGGACTGTACAAAACCCTACATCCGAGTGTACCATACAAATATATACAATACCATCCATGGGCAATAATCCAGCAAACCAAATCATAATAAGTTCATAATCATCCATTAATAATAGATTACTTGAAGCCATCACACAGCCCTGTGTTGATCATGTTTTTTTTCCATTCTGGGTGATGAAAAGGTTTTATTGCCAGCATTCTCATTAAAACTCCTTAGGCGCAAAAAAAAAAAAAAAAAAAAAAAAAAGAGATTACTGTGATGTACAGAGGAGTGGCAGCAAAAAGAATGGACCACAGGCTCCATTGACCTACTTTGACCACACCACCCTCCAACTGAATCATTAAATCCGTAGCATCTTTCTGACCAAATGCCACCACTACTGTCCAATACCCACAGGTGTCTTCAAGTCAGTTCTGACTCTGCTCAGTCTGGCTGCTATTCCCCTGATATATTATGGGATGGTAATTGGATGGGGAGTTGCCATGACTCACAGAGGCTGGAACATGAATCAAGTTGGACCATATCTTTGAACTCGCTGACGCCTGAGAGGTCCACGAGAGTCAACCAGTGTGGTTTTCTTTGTGACGGGTAACTGCAGTACAAATATGTCACTGTGGTGTTTTTACAACAGCTACATAACAGCTTTTGGTCACAATATTCTATCAGTGAGGAGTTTGGTGACAAAAAACAAAACACATCTTGAGGTCACTAAAAGCGCTATTGGCTGTAAAATGCACTGCTTTTGTTATTAATGAATATTCAACATTTCAAACCTTTAACAGTTAGAATCAGGCAACACTGAGTGTCAACGGGGATGTGAGCTAACTTTCCCAGTAAGACGATGACAGGAGATGAGTAACCTAATCCCAAAATAAATAAGTGCCTATTTTTTGCACACTATACTGCTGTTTTGTTTTTCTTGTTTGTTTTGTTTTGTTGTTTTACATAAACTCCAACCACCAAAAAACAGGAAACAAATGCCAACAACCCAGATCAAGCTGTCACGATTCAATCAAACTGCAAAGCATTACTGGGTAAATTCCCCTTCCTCGCCTCAACTTTACCTCTGAGGTTTATGACAGTTTTGGATTGTTGCACTAACAGTAAACAGACATTTACATAAAGCAAACATAATGCTTTGTTACAATGTGTCCAAGTGAATTGATGGTTAAGGTTTAATCCATCTACGAGACCAAAGGTCAGTGTTGTAAATTTTGAATGATGAGACTTATTATCATGACATTGGTGAAGGGTGTCTTCTGTTGTGTACGACCGCTGCAGTAAACAGTTAACATAGATGTACGCAGCTTTCTCCTGTGCTTGATCTTCCAGGCGATTGGACTAAATCGTTAGTGCATTTGTGAGGCGTACTGTGGGATGCTGTCCACCTTGGAGGTTCCCTTAGTCAGCAGACTGGGCCCTTCACAGTAATATCCTGTTTCCATATGGTATGCAGCAAGATATTTGTGATATTTCCCATGGCGCATCACACCGTGTATTGTTGGGATGAAGCCATGTTGGTGCAGCAATATGCAGGTGTTTATTTACATTGAGATTGCAAACTAAATATTAGAGGCTGTTATGATGAGACAGAGAGGCTGAAGATGCTAATAAAGAAGGGCTTTAAAACAATTATAATTTTGAATCTGATTAAGCTGTAGTTATGAAAACTTTTTTTCCCCACAGTGTGTGTAAATGTCAACATGTTCATGGATGGTGGAATCCTTGGATACAAAGAGCACATCATTGTTTATGCATTTGAACAAGGTCAACATTTTAATTTTTAAAGATTAATTTAAAAAATAACTAATATTTTTAACAGCCCTAAAATATCGTACCAAATATTTTTCTCCTTGTCTTCTACTTGTGTATCCATGTGCATCTGGATGGGCTTTTAATTACCTTTGAGTTTTCCCAGATGAGCCTTATAAACACACACACACACACACACACACACACACACACACACAAACTCACTCATTTTATTTACCTTTAACACTCTAACCTTCTATACTTCTAGATACGTTTCAAAAAGTTACGTAACTCCCAGCAGACACAGACATGCCTCGCTGTGTATTTTCAGCGGCACAAGTCACCCTTGTGGCTACAAAGTGAGTTGTACATAATTGTCAACATAATTTCTACGTGTAATACACTAACTCTGACATAAACTATGACAATGACAATAGGATCATTTTTACATTATTATAGCTTCCCAGAGTCACTATTTTGAGCATTTTCACTAATCAACCTAGAACCGCGAGGAGAGAAGTACAAATATTTGGAAGTACCTTCCTTTTGACCCATTTACCCCTCAGACCTCATTTGCACAGACAGCAACATTTTCTGCCTCCGTGCTCAGAGGGAGACATTCATCCTCCTCATTGCATAATCATCTCCTTGCTTGCTAAGAATAGCAAGGAACTTGACATGTCTCACCGCTGAGACCCAAAGACACCTCCATTCACGTGGTTGTCCACAGAATTTCTGAATCGATGTTGGAAGTGCGAGAACAGGATGGCGCGCCCGGCATTGTTTCCCGATGTCAATCCCTTTTGTTGTTATAAAGGCCGTTCTCTCACAGTTAAATGAGGAGGAAT